TGCAAATCAATTTCTAACCTTTATATAATGTGTTTTTTCTGGATTTTTTGGTTGATATTCTGTCTCTATCGTTAAAATAAACCTACAATAAAAATTACAGACCCTTCATTTCTTTTTAAGTGGGCAAACTTACAAAATCAGCAGGGGATCAAATAAATATTTTCCCCACTGTGTATATATATATATATATATATATAAAAACAAACCTTTATAGGTGCTACTGTAACAGACTTTCTGGTTGTCAACAGGCGGTAATGTTCTTATACTGAATATGTGGGGAGAGCAGGCTGGACCTCACCTGCAGGCTCTGCACTTTAGCTTTGCTGCTGGAGCCTTTGCCTCTCCAATCATAGCCAAGCTGCTCTTTGGCCAGCATTCCGACAATGCCTCCATTTACACGGATCTAGCATCTGGCCATGCATCCAAGACCTTCGATGCCAGGGTTCCTTTATCCTCCCATCCAAAGAACACCACTCTAACATCCATGTGGGCCTACATTGTGATTGGTGCTTTTGTTTTATTGGTGTCGCTCATCTTTTTTTCCCTGTACTCCTGCAGTTCACCCAACTCAAATAGGGCAAAAACACCTTCAGGAAAGCAGCAGTTCTCCAAACACCACAACATACTCCTATTCCTGCTGTCCTTGTTCTTTTTTTTCTATGTTGGAAGTGAGGTGGCGTATGGTTCCTTTATATTTACCTATGGCAAGGACTATGTTGGTATGAAACCGGTTGAGGCAACAGGACTGAATTCACTCTTCTGGGGAACGTTCGCGGCTGGTCGTGGTCTGGCCATATTCTTTGCTGCTTGTCTGCGGCCAGGCATCCTGATCCTACTGAGCCTAGTGGGCACCACAGTTTCCGCACTCCTGCTGTGTCTTTTTAGTCGAAATCCCCCTATGCTCTGGGCATGCACTGCTATATATGGTGTCTCTATGTCTACCACCTTTCCCAGTGGAATTTCATGGGTTGAGCAGTACACGACTGTGACAGGGCGGTCAGCTGCAGTGTTTGTAGTGGGTGCAGCTCTTGGAGAAATGGTTCTGCCAGCTCTGTTGGGCTTATTACTGTGGCAGTTGCAAAATCAGCCATTACTGATGTACCTGGCACTTGGCACATCCATCTTCACTTCTATCTTGTTCCCTGTCATGTACAAAATAGCGTCACCAGGAGGGGACGCCACCTTGAGGAAAATGCCAGGGAGACGCACCAAGGATACTGATGAGAGTGAGTACCAGCAAGCACTGCTGGATAATGCGGAGGAAGAAGAGGAGCAGGAAAATGAAAGTGAAGCTGACCAGTGGAATGATGCAGACTTTGAGGTGATAGAAATGGATGATGCCAGCCTATTGAGTTCTCCTTCTAAAGCCTCAGTGCCTCCTGAAGTTGCAGCTAGTGCACTTGCTGCCCAATCAGTGGCCGTCCCATTGTCGCCACCCTCAAGAGACCCCACTCTGTCTAACACACTGCCCTTTTCCACAGACTCTCCCAGACGCAAACTGTTAATGTCCCTCAACAGGGAGAAGAAAGACTAACATGTTGCACTACATCAAAGAGGTCTCAGACTTTAGCCCTTAGCCAGGAACTGAGAAGTGGCAGCCTTTTTATCTTCTTGGGTGAAAAGATCACACTAGCCAGTTGATTTGGTATTTTCTAAATGCCAACTGCATGTTTGACGTTCATTACATAAAGCAACATAACCCACACCAAGCCTTTTCCTGCTCACCACGGTACAGGATTATCTTAAAGAAGCATATTGTACATAAACTGAATTGTCCTGTTATTTCAGATCAGCCTAATTATTGGACACCAACGTATATTAGGATTATATTAGGATATCAGACTATATCTCTCTCAGTTGCCTCAGATTTGCTCTCATTTGTTATTGCCAATTAATAGACCATAAATTTAATTATTCTGTACAATGGTAACCAGCACAATTCACTAGTTCACAAAGCTGTGAAATTAAGACAACCATTTTTTTTGTATTGTATGGTCAGACTCAGAATGAATGTACAAAGTTGCATTAATAATATCTCGATGCTGAAGTCTTTGTTGAAAGTCCTTTTATGTTTACAAAATATTTATTTTCATTTTTCAAATCATACTGAATGTTGATTAATAAATATTAACACAATTTTGTGATTTTTTTTTTCTCAAAGTCTGATATTAACCAGCTGTGACTTGTGTGTAAATTGTTTTTGTCCGACAAGCTTCAAGTGACGAGGTCATTTCCATTGCTCATATCAGGTAGCCCTGTTTATCGTGATGATCTTATTTGTAAGAAGTCCCACTGAACATGGCTGTATAAACATCAAATGTCTTCTACAGTGCAGCTGTTTGGACATGGCCTGTGATTAGAGGCAGCAGCTGCCGGTTTCCACAATTTTTGCACTTTTTTTCTTTGGTGTTTTTCAGATTCTGTAGTGAAGTCTCATTACTGTCCCGAGTTATTAACTGTGACCTTATTTTCATATTACCTGTAAATTGCTAGTGTCTTACTGACTGTTCCCCAGGTGCATGTCCAATAATAGTTTATGGTTCATGGAAAGCATGAACAAGCATGAAAAACATTGCAGATCTTTATTGGAAAGGGTTTAAACGAAGCTTATAGTATACCCCAAGATGATGTAAGGGCCCATTTTGACTGAAACAAGCATTTGTTAAATACATTGAATTTTATTATATCAGTATTAAATCTCCACCCACAAATATTCTTTAAAAAACAAAGCACCTTAAATTTTTTACAGGTTTACAAAAACATAGGTTATGTAACTCTGCTAGGTAGCACAGGTCGGTAACAATGTCTGGTTTAGAATAGAGAAAGCATTAGAAAAGTATTTTAAAAGAACACTTATGCACACAGACAATAATACTTATCAAACATATTGCAGAAGTCTAAGTTAAGGCTGATACTGACTTGCTTGTCCTCAGACTTGCCTCTGTCGAGAATGGAGACAAAACCTCCCAGCACATACATGTGAAAACATTTTTAGATTTCTTTTTCAACAGTGTTCATAGACAGAATTTTGGATAATTATATGCAAGGTTTATTTACAAAAGACTGATCTAACAAAAAAAACAAAAAAATCACGGGAGTCAAACATTGTTCGACACGAATTACAGCCAGTACTGAATCTTCTTCATTTACAAATTGCAAATCACGGGAGTCAAACATTGTTCCACACGAATTACAGCCAGTACTGAATCTTCTTCATTTACAAATTGCTACAGCACATAAGGGTTCAGTTTAGAAAGGATTATGCTGTAAATGTCTGACCTGTCAATCTGCAGAAATGTCGCCATTTAATGAACACTCTAAAGACAACTACCAAGCAAATTCAAACACAGTGCATCAAAATCAGCTTCCTCTTTTCTGTATTTAAGGCCTCTTTAGTCCCACTGCACTGCAGTACCACACACAGTCAAACAGTATAAGATGGAAACTTCAAAGACGGGGAAAAAAGCACCTTTTCAAAACATTAAACACAGAAATTGTGCTGAATGGCACAGTGTTTAGCACCAGAGTAAAATGAAAGGGGGACAGACTGCTGGACTATCAGAACTGCTCTAGCAGCTGGCGAAGATATGATCCTCGGGAAAGATGCCGATTAACACGAGACGATTTGTAGAGTACAGGGCAGTCCAATGAGACGCATGGCACTTGACGCTCAGCACTCCCACTGCAACTTCTACATACCTGTCAATCAAATCACAACAGAAGAACATAAAAGACTGACATATGACAAACATGAAACGTGTGATCTCTAGTCTCATGTAGCCAGGGATGGGCATTTTCCAAAAACGTTGCATTCGAATATTTGGGCTCATAAAAAAACGAATATTCGTTAATTTAAATGAGGTTTAATGAGAAAGACGTTATTTTTTAATTATCAAGTTTTTGTCACGATTTCTGAACAAGCATATGATTAGCCGTTACACAACAATGTTCTACAACAACGTTACGTTATCACAACGTTTTATTTTGGTTGAAAACGTTTAAACAAAACAAAAAAATACATTAAAAAAAGCATTCAAGATAAAGCAGAGCAAACGGAAAAATCAAGCAGAATGTGCCAATTACAGTACAGAACGTAGGCTACATATACTCGAGTCGGCCTATATTTATTGTGTTTACATTGTTTCACGTATTAATTCTGAGAGAAACGATCATATCCACATGCTCGGGTTAAAGTTTGTTCCTCAGTCTGATAACAATAAGAACGCGCTGACAGAGATAACGTGTGCTAACAGTTTCTTAGCGCTTTGTGTTAAACCTCTCTCCCTCGAGGAACCTTTATATATGTCTCAAGCTATCAGATGCGCTCTCTTCTCGGCTCAATCGGAGTACAGCTGCGCTTACCTGCAGTCGTGAATGCAGTGATGGGCAGCTGTCTTTCCTCAGTCGACTGTGTTTGGATTTCATGTGATTTCTCATTGTGGTGGTGATATTATGATAAATCAGTTTCACTAATTCATTTGATCAGAAGTAATTACATTTTGTCAGATCATTCAGTAAGATAATTTAGATCAACGTAAATCCAAACTTCGCGAGGCAGATGATGACATTCTGTGATCAAATACTATCAACTTGTTAACACGCTCCACAGCGCCACCCAGTGCATTTAGTTATAACTGCTCAGGATGTATCATGGATTCCCTGCATTTACGGCCAGCAAATCAACACAGTAAAATTCGAATAGTGTTTTTATTATTCGAATAATAAGTTCAGACCGAATATTCGAGTATTCGTGCACACCCCTAAGCCAGACTTTTGACTAAAGGGCCCAAATGTGGTCCCCATTGCAGCTTAAGTTTCTTTCACACAAAACATGTTTCAAAAAGTGAAAAAAAAAACACAAAAACAAAAAACCACCAAGAACAAACAAAGACACAAAAAACCCCACTGTGTTAGATCAAATCTCCACGCCAGAATTAATAGATACAGACCCGGATACCAGACCCTGTCAGAAAATATCCTCTTTGTCTAGTATCTGAACAACTAGTCAGCGTAGATGTTTAATACCCAAAACCCATTAACAGTGAGTCTTGTCTGGTACCCAAAACTGTATTAACAGAAGAGCAGAAGCAGGGGGCCGTTTTTCATACCTCGCTTAATACATCTGAGATGATTTGACATGTCAGATCTATTAATCTCGATACCTGATTTCTGGCTAATTTGGTTCTTCAAACACGTTAGTGGATTTGATTAAAATAACTGGATTAAGTTGTCTGGGATTACTCTGTGTTGACATGTTCTTTAGAAAGGGCAGATATATCGATTCTCGAAACCATGATCAGCAATGATCATGCAAAAAAAATCACATCATATAATTAAGATCAAGGAAACAGCCAGGCAGGCAAAATGACAAAAGTTCTAATAAATAAAATGTGTAACCATTTTTTAAATGATTCCCAATTATTTTTCACCATTTCAAGAGTATTGTAATTAGCAATTCATTTAATTTTGAAGTGGATTTGTTATATGTGACAGCATTAATTAAAGTTTCTTAATCCATAAGACACATCTTAACACATAACTGACTGTGTTTAAATTAACTGTGCATCATAAAAGCATTTAGAGATCTGAGAAGATTTTCAACCATCAAATGGACACCAAAAGCTTAACAAATAAATGTCAGGCTGAAGGAAACTCTATTTTGTCCATAGAAGAGGCATGCTTGAACCGAGGGTGCAACATATCAGAACAGAACAAAAGGACGAGTTTGTTCAGCAATGTCATTTCAGCAAATAAAATGAAATGAAACAGATTAACTTAAATCATAGTTATATTTGATCGTTGAAGGTCAGTAGCAAATACACCAATAAATAAAGTGAAATTAAAATAAAGTATATGTATAATTGTATGTATTTAATTATTCCAGGTTTGCTTCACATTTTGTTTATATTACCATGTGTTTTTATTTATTTATTTATTCTAAGGAATACAAAATGTGTTTTTGTTGAAGTGAGACAAGTAAAGATCATTTATTGTTGAAATCATTATCTGTCTGGTGTCACATACAGTACAGCATACAGTACATATACAATTTACTAACCAAATTTAAATGAATAATTTCAGTTAAACAACATTAAATTAAATCGCTTATTTTAATAGCCAGAGATTTCTTAAATAGTCAGATGTAAATGTAAAAACTGTGGTGACGGAATACTGGTGTTAAAGGGCTTCTATTGTGAGAACCACCCACTTGGTCAGTTTTCAGGTCATTAAAGGGTTAGTTCACCCAAAAATTTTAATTCTGTCATTAATTACTCACCCTCATGTCGTTTCAAACCCGTAAGACCTTCGTTCATCTTTTTGGGTGAACTAACCCTTTAAGACTGTCTGTCCATTTTGTTTTTACGTGCCCGTTTAGGGTTTTCTGAAATAACCTTGGAAAACACAGCAGAACATCTGCTTATGGATATCTGGCTAGTGTAAAACTTGTTGATTCTTAGAAAGTAATTGGTTCTTCTTAAAAAGTGCTTATTTTATCAATCCAGTTGAAACTTCAAGCAGGCTTAAATAAAACAGCTTACTACCAGATTCTGTATAAAGCCAGCTTAAAGCTAATCAGGGATGCTTTCCCAAAAGCAAATATTTTCGCAGTTCATTGTTACCAATATAGTTTAGCGGAACTTGCAACCATAGTTGGTTAACAATGCTTTTGGAAAATGCACCCCAGATCGGAAATGATGGAATCAGATGGTCAGTGAACAAACCATGGCCATCTAAGACTAAGGGTGCTTTCACACCTGCAGATCGATTGCTTTGTTCCGAAACAGGTATTAAAATTATTACAATGTTGCTTTTTATTCTTGGTGCGGTTCGCTTTCATATGGCAATGTTTCTAAACGGACCAAATTTGTTAATACAAAAAAGTAAACGGTTCTCTCATTGGTCAAAGTTCCACAGATATATAACGGTAGATGTTGTTATATTAATTTATCACTTTGAGCAGGTGTCCAGGATTCATCGGGAAAACATTTTTAAAATGCACATACTAGGAAGAAGAGCAATAAGACGGTATTATAAAATGAAAAAGTGCACTTTGATGGCGAAGACGTGCTCACCCACAGACATTCACAGGTTCATTTTGAAGTATTAGCAAAACAAAAAACATAATGCTTTTCACGGAACTTACGTAATTACCCATTATACACTGAGATATAGCCTGGTTCGTTGGTCCGTTAGATCGGATTGCTTTCTCACTACAACAGAACCGCTCCAGAGTTCGTTTCCAATCGCGCAAATAACCTACCATATTTCGCCGAACACAGAGGTCCCGTGATAATATTAGTCCCGTGCGAATTGGCTTCTCTGTGATTCGGCCAGCATTTGGCGGGTCGCATATCATTTTTCGAGGTTTTTGTTTGCTGTGCGCCTTTT